CGCATGTCGTTTTGAAAACAGCATTTTACCTGCATCTTGCAAGATAATGGAATGATTCCAATTGTGGGCGTGCCAATACAACGGCGCCATCAAGTCTAGATTGGAAAAGACCCAAATGTTTTGCAAAGTTCCAACATATATTGCTAACTGACTGTCCGAATAATTCTCAGAACGGCTGTAAACTTTACCTTGTAATTTGAGTACGCCCCTTTCAGTACGTCATACAGTCTCATGTATTGGGGTAAATGGAAAAATGCTCCCAGCTGAGTTTTACTCGTCTTAGAATCCTTAGAATCTTTCTCAGAACCTTCATGTTTGTCACCTTTGAAAATAAAACAGATAATTAATTTAAAATGGAAATATTTATGAAAAACTTACATGTATGCCTCTTAAAGACACAGTGATGAACACCCCTCAGATCACATATCTCTCTATAAAATATGGCATTCTTTAAAACAGTACATCTGACACAATAAATAATAACATCTGTACAACATACTTTGCTTGTGATCCTTTGACTGTGATTTTAATGGACTAGAAGACAGTGAAGTGGCTTGGTCACCGTCTTTTTCTTTTGATTTGGTTTTCTTTTTAATTGGACTTAGTGATGTACCAGTAGACAATGATGGCAGCGAAGGCTAAATAAAAATATAAAACAAAACATTACAATATATTTCAAATTAAAAAAAATCGAAGGTTATTAATTAGAGCAAATTTCATCAATAAGGATAAAGATTACGTGACAAAATGATTAGAAAATGTTACTGTCTTGATAACTTATCAATCATTATTAGTAACGATTTTACGAAATAACAAACATCTTATTCCTGGCACATAATTTTTCCCACCAAGCTTTTAGTGCACGTTTTTCTAGTTTTTATGTAAATTTTAGTTGGGGATGGAGCAGAAAATGACAATGACTATTTGGTGTTCAACAAGTTAACCTTTTCACCACCAGACTTTCTCGCCCAATTTTTCTGCACTTTTTTTATATTTTTTAATATTTCTGGGAACTAACCCTAATTTTGGAGACAACAGAAAAAATTTGAGTAAATTTTCAGTTTTTATTCAAAAATTTGGCTTCTTTTGTTCCAATCTTTTGAAGGAAAATGCAAATTATAAACGGGACTGTAATATGAATTTATGATGAAAAGAGGGAACTGGTAGTGAAAAGGTTAAATCTATAACAAATTATTGATGGCAGTCTCCCCACCCTCATTCATGTTACATTCACAGTATCTCTTACCTGTATTTTAGGGGGACCTGGTTGGTTTCCTTCTATCACATGTGCACAGACATTCAGAAGACGAGCTAAATGTTGTAATAACTGGTCAGCTAGGGGGACCAGCAATGGGTCCTGCACTGCTGACCAACCAGTGAGCTCTTCTGGGGACTGGCTATCTTTGCCATTGTGATTAGTTCTCAAAGACTTAAATGCTGCACCTGATTAAAATGAGACACACATAGTAAAATAATAATGCCACGCCCTAAAAAAGTATACTATTAACATAATTTAACAAACATTTATGCTTTCTATATTATTATGTAAACTTTTCAAAATGAAACAAAATAAATCTATTTAGTAGTGTATAGTGCAGCAATTTATTGAAACTACTGGTACAACAGTTGAATTAATTTGTTGCGTCTTAATTCTGACCAATCAGAACACTTTTGTATTATACGGAACACCGCCAGACCTGCATACAAACTTTGGGGGACACACAGTAGGTTCGGATAACCGAACATTTCGGATAATCGACGTTCGGATAATCAACGTTCTACTGTAACCTATATTTTGTTTACTGTGGAATACTTTATTTTCGCTTGGAAATAATTTTCGCTGTTTTTGCTGAAGGAATGGTTCAGTGAAAATAAAATCCTGCGAATATATCTTTTTTTTTTGTATAAATTTCATATAAAACATCCAAAAAGTCTTTTCAGCGAATATTAATTCCAGCTACAATAAAGTATTTTACAGTATGTACTCACCTGCCATCAAATTACCAGCCAACTGGAGTGCATCTTGATGTCCGGATAAATCCAATGGCAGTGAGGATGAAGTCAATAACGCTAATATTAGCGGCAATACTCCTCCACCAGAACCACTACTCAACTCTTCCACACTCACAGTACTTGTGGTGCTTCCAGCGCTGACAGTATGAAGAGAGACAAAATATTTAAAACTTGTGAATTATGCCAGAAAGTACAGGACATTTTTGATGACATGCTAGGGACAAAGAACAAAAATCACAAAATCTTTTGGTTAAGTTGATAAACCCAAATGTACAATTGTATTTGATCACCATCTTCCAAGATCAAGTTGACCAAAAAGTGTGACAAGCTAATAATTTTTAAAAAATGGTATATCGGTACTTTGTGATTCATTATTTTGATATGGATTTCATACAAGCAGCCTGTCGGCTGAGATAGCTCCGTTGTTAGCAAAGCACATTTCAATTAAAGAACAGAAGATATCATTAGAAAATGAACAATATGTATAGTATATCAAAGCAATGGGACTTGCTGTTTTCAACAAGAAGTCGAAAATATCATTTTTACCAAAAATGACAAAAATATTCACTAAAATTATAGAATTGAAGATATCAACATGAAATGAACAAACCTAAGAGAGGTCTACCCAAGGTACATATACACCAAGTATCAAAGAATTCAGGCTTGTAGTTTTAAATAAGAAGTCGGAAAAGTAAAACATTGACACAAACGACGGAGGACAATCACTCGTATGATAAGCTCCGCTCGACAAAGTCGACAGCGAAGCTAATAAACATATTGAGAAAAAAGGCATGGTTTTATACATGTATACACAATATTTTATGGCGAATGCGTAATTGTAACATACTGTGGAATCAATATCTAATTTTGCAATTTTGTGCCACAATTTTATGAGCATATATTTTGCTGTCTCACACCAGACTAATCAAATTCAAAACAAAGAATAACAATAGAAAGAAGTCTCAAAACCTGTTTACCTGGTAATACTGGTAATACTTCCACTACTGAATGTCCTTGAAGTTTGTCTGTGAATTCTAGAAGACTTTGAACCGTCCTTGGGTGTGAGAGTTGTTATACTAGCGCAGCCCCATGCGCTAGCATACTGTGATACAGGATATTGCATAGGACAACTCACACAAGGCATGACAGCAACCATACTGTCAGAAAACGGCAATAATTTTGTCAGACATGAAGGTAAGCATGATGAAAACAATAAAACAACTTTTTAGCCAGAATTTTAGAAAAACATTATATTAAAACTATATTTTCATGAATTACTGTGAAATACTTTATTTTCGCTTGGAATTAATTTTCGCTATTTTCACTGACGGAATGATTCAGTGAAAACAAAATCCAGTGAATATACTTTTTTTCCTATATTTTACATTCAACTTGTCAAAAATCAGTGAAAAATTAATTCCATACAAAACACCCCAAAAGTCCTTTCAGCGAAAATTAATTACAGCTAAAATAAAGAATTTTAAAGTAAGATATTTTACAATTATAATAAATATTTTTAAATTAAAATCAAAAGCAGTATGAGCGCATCAATTGACCAGAAATTATTGTCATTTTAAACCTTACATGACAAAATTAAAAGAATTTGTACCTACCAAAAGATATTTAGAAGTGCAAGAGTTGAGAGTCTTAACAAGTTTATCTACCACACGAGATAAAGCCGATTCTTCAGTAACTGGTGGTGTAAATGTATGGTCATTAAATATTGATACTTCCCGCATAGCAGTGGTGTTGGCTGTTGTATATGGTGTCTGTTCATGTATGATTGGATCAAGGTGTTTGTTGGTGTGCTCTTTAGCTACTGCAATAATGGGATCATGCTGGGGGTGATCCATAGCATAGAACAGCCAAGAGACAAGCCTGTTAAAAGAAGAGAAATGAACATAATATTGAAATGAGAAATCCAACAAATACTTGAACTGGTGATTACAATGCCACAAACAAATCATTTTACTAACAAGGATGACCACTTTTTGTTCATATGGGACAACCATTAAAATAAATCCAGAAATCACTCAATTGATGAAAAGGATTAGTAAAAATATCTGACTGTCGGGGTAAATTTAGTTCTGCTGATCAAATAATGAATTCCCCGATTACCGTTGACCCTCTCCTCATATACTTACGCTACTAGTGCTTTGGCAGAGGCATCCCTCACCCTTGCATCTTCATCTGATAGGAGTTGAATTATTACATTCTCAATTACTCTGCCTTGAAGCTGAAGCCTCTGAAACAGAATAATTCCCAATATAAGACCCAATTGTACGTTTTTGAAAAAAGTAACAAAATTTTTAATTTCAATTGAGGCCCAAGAAAAACCTCACGTTTAAGTCACCTATCCCGTGATGTAGGTAACCAGTGACTCAGATCATGACAATTACAGCATGGTGCTAAGTGAGGCAGCTGTCTGTGAGGACTCGTGTGTGTGTGTGTAGGCGCCATTAAGGCCTTATCTCCTTTGGCGTTCCGTCATATTTGACTGGCCTTAGGACAAGGGCAAAGTGTTACCAAACTGAGCCATGAATCCATGGTGACAAATCGTTCGCAGACTGTATTACCCAGGTAATTGTAACGTAGTGGAATAATTAAATACAGAGGTAAAAAGTTGTAGAGTGGATGGTTGTAAAACTTTAGATAATGTGGACAGCACATTGGGGTATCAAAGGAAAGGAACGCTAATAATGCAGGTATCTAATTGGTGAATGAGGACGACATAAGGAATAGAACCAGAGATAGTCTGAGGACATAAAAACTCAAGGGTCATGACTGATGAATATAATACATCATGAGAAAATATAAGAGGAGAGTTGAGAAATAACACAGATAAGGAACTTGGTCAAATTGGTAACAATGCCATGAAAAATGGCTAGTGAACAATGAATGCTCATTTCTTGGCATTACCACCAATTAAAGACTGTTTATTTAATTGTGACATTTGTTAGTGAAGGGTACTTGCTCAGTAATTATTCAAACAAAAATTACATGTTACTGTCATAGCAATAATGGATGGAAGACAAAATCAGCAATATTACGAGCTATAATTGGATAATCATACAGCTGAACATTGAAATATGTGATTCATTTTGGATCAAACCATTCTCAAGAAGAAACAAGCTACATTGTGATGTCTGGAACAAAAAATTGTTAGTATGCCATACACTCTTTAAAGAGTAATATTTTAATAGTATTGTTGATAAGTAATACATTTATAAGAAATAAATGAGTAAATTCCATTACTGACTAGGTAATTGTATACTCTGATCATCAATAAATAGTCAGGGGATTATCAACAATTAATGCAATTTTACTAGATAAACATTACAACGACAATAAATACTTACTCCAACAAAATGATTATCTCCTTTTCTGGTGTCCGGAAAAATGTCTTCAAGAAAATGTACAACTCTGTAAGAAATATTAATTATTTTATCAACAAGTTTGATGTCACTATGACATAGCAGCTTAGACACATAAACTAAATACCCATTAACACACTGCCTTCTTTTTTTACCCATTGATTTTGGTATGTACGTGGAGCTTTCAGTATACAATGTATGGTAGTGTTAGACATAATAAAATTGTATCAATTTTGCATCAAAATCTGAATTGGAAAACGTTAATGCTTATCTTGTCAAGTCAATGTAAAAGTGCATGCGTTTGGCAGGATATAGGTTAATAAAATTCAGATAATAAAGTAATGCAATAATTAATATTTATTCATAAAATTAATAAATTCAAGCAAAGAAAAAGAAACACCAACAGCCAAGTGACAGCTAGATTATAGTATTTTGAAATATTTTAAGATTATTAGAATCAATGTTGGTTAAAAAACAGATGATAACTTGAAATCAGATCTAGCGAGATCACTGCAATATAACATTATCCACAACTGTTACCCAGAGATGACTTGTCAATACTACCTATACTTACTTGAAATCGATAGATGACAAAACATCCAATAATTTAACTTTTACCAACCAATAGGAATTATCGCTCAATGGTAATAAAGATAATATTAATTTTAATCCCAAATCTCCATGGATACTATTGCACAATGGACGTAAACATATCTGAAATAACAAAAAAAAGTGAATGAATGAATTCAGTAATAAAAACTGCTGTTTTGTCTGGTATATAATTTGATTGAAATTAAATTAGTTTGTTTGTTTGAAAAAAAATGTCTGTCATATAATTTTATTCTATTTTATTTTATTATTTTAAATTTTGTTTGTTTATTTATTTATAGACCAGAGAAAATGTATGAGATTATATGTATATGTATATGTTCAGAGATTGCCATGTATCCACTTTGGTCTGCAGAGCTGAAATGCCAAATGTGACTGCGTAAAGGGATGCTTTTAATCGATGGGAATGCATTAAGCAGTCATTGATACCATTGTTATTTTCATAATTTTTATTACTGTGTTTTCTTATTGTGATTTCAATCCAACAAGTAAATAGTTGTGAAATTGGGTTTCACTATTAAATCAAGACACTTGCCTCCAATGACAAATCAAAGATGGTCACTATGGTTACTCACCTTTACTGCACTGCATACGCTTTTACTTGCCCCAGAAAAATCATCTTCTAGTCCAGATATCAATAAGGATATCAATTCATCTAAGGGTACAAATTCTACAGAAAAAAAAATTAAATACAATTTTGAAATTTTAATTATTTAGTTAAGACTTACCGTATTTGTTGGAGGAAAGAAATAACAAATTTTCAAATGTTTAATATCCATATAAGGAGCATGAGATAAACAAGATCATAATCATGATTATAAAGTTTCATAATTATGTAAATTCATCATTAATTGACTCATACCTGTTTGTAGATGATCACACACTGAGGTCATTTAAATAAACAATAAAAAATAAATAAAATAAAAA